GCGAGGTCTTTGCTTGTCCGGGCCGTTCCTATAGATTGCTGTATAGTTGTCTGTTGACGGGCGTTTGACGGTGCTCGTCATAATCTGTCACTTTTGTTGGTCAGTGTCTAGACGGTGATAAGAACTGCCACCTGTGGACCGCAGTGGACCTGGCCTTCTTTGTCCTGATGGGTGTGGTTGGTGGCCTGCTGGGGGCGCTCTTCAACTGCATGAACAAGTGTCTGGCCAAGTATCGCATGAGACATGTTCACCCCAAGGCCAGGTTCTTCAGGTGACCCGGCACAGCCCGCCCCAGCTGACAAACACAAGCTTTATTTCTGATTTTAAACCTTTTTTTTTTCCATTTCAGAGTACTCGAGAGTCTGCTGGTTGCCATGGTGACAACAGTTGTGATATTTGCCGCTTCCATTTTGTTGGGCGAATGTCGGGACCTGACCTCCCCCACCACCCACAACACCACGGTGAGTTTTTCCCGTTACACAACGGAGTGCAGCTGCCTGTCTGGTTAAAGGACAGGAGTGAATAAGACGTGTGAGAACAAGTCATGGTCTTAATTCTTCATGAGGAAACGTAAATGTTTTCATGACTGACAGTAGGGATGGCATGATTATCAGTATGGAGGTATACAAGGAGATTTCTGTTAACTGACTCCAAAGCTTTCTCTGACTGCGAATGGAAAGCCAACAAGATGGAGACGGATTGGAGACCTGGTCCTACAGGTGAAGGATTTCAAGTGTCTCTCAGCGTGGCTACGTCCACTGAGGAGGACCTGTAGCTCAGACTGCTGTCAAACTGGGAAAAATCTGTCCTTCTTCACTCTTCAGGAAACTAAATCTCTCTAAAGCAACAGTTGAAAGTGTTTTCCAGTATGCGTCAGGACCATGGTCACTCACTGAATGGGTGTTTAACTCATCTACAAATGGCAAGAAAGTGTGACAAGGACCTCTACAGAGATCCCACCAGCGTCAGACGGCTCCATTCTGCTACAGAACCAAGAAGGAACATATCTGTCGGGTTTTATTCTAGGAACCAGCAAGTGGTCACAAAGGAAGATGACCAGGAACGTCCGACATCAACAGGATGATGGATGATCCAGGACTCTGTCCCTGAAATCGACCGAGGTGGATCGGAGTATATGGAGAGCAGTGTTTCCCCTCGGTCACTTGCCTTGCTAGGGTGCTCCTCTCTTCAGGGAGTTTTGTAAATGGGGGAGGTTTGGGAGAGAGACATGTCTGTGTTGCACGCTACTTTTGTGCCGGCAGTTGTTGAGAGAAGCGGAGCACTGTGTCATTAGTAGCTTTTTAGCCAGCGCTTCTGTATTTCGCACCGCTACGCCCAGCAGTTTTCGACCGGGGCGGGGGTGGGGTGCAGAGTTGTGGGTGAAGGACATTTCGGTAGTAGGCAGGGCGCTCGGTTCTGTTGACGGCGGGGCGCCCTCCTTGTATAATGGTAGGGGAAACCCTGGAGAGACATCTGTGGGGATCGAAGAAATTTGACTAACTTTTATAAAATGTGTGTCTCTTTTATATAATTAATAATGACAGTGCACGGAGTGGGAAACGTATATTTAGGAGTTGTTTCAGAGACGCCACATGAAGTTGGTGCGTTGATTTCTAATATTAACAGTCTTTTTGTCTATTCCATGTTCATACTTACAGGACCAACAATGTTTCTGCTACTAGACACAGTTTTAATCAAGCAATCAATATAACTTTATTGTCCAAAACATTTCATGACATGGAGATTTATCTTTGACATCTGGCTCGTACATGCAAAACAACACAATAAAAAATGCCATAAAACTTTAAAAAGCTTTGCTAACCCAATAAAAACCTATTCTAAAATACACGATACATTAAAAACATCTCAGCAGACAGCGGGTTGTCATGTGAGGCTGCGTTTAAATAGGACCTGCTCACGGCAGAGAGAACAAATGACTTTTTGTTCCATTGTTCTTCACCAGAGGAACCAGCAGTCTTCTGCCAGATGGTTCCAACCTGAATAATGGTTGCAGTGGATGAGTTGGGTCATTGTAAACCTGTATAGCCTTTTTTTCAGAACCTGACTGTACAGGTCTGTAGGTTGCATTTGCTGATGACCAATGATTTTACAGTCCAGTTTGACCACCTGGGACAACTTGTTCCTGTCTCTGGCTAGGACGTTCCCATACCATGAGACAATATTAAAGGAAACAACTACCAGTGACCTGTGCACCAACTGCAAAGTAATTTTGCTTGCATTAAAGCTCCTCAGCTTATATAGAAGGTGGAGACGCTGTCTGGCTTTTTGTAAGTACAGTCAGTGTTGGGGGTCAAAGGTCAACTTGTTAATTATTGTTCCGAGGTATTTAAATTCAGTCACCTGCTCTGCTTCCTGCACTTTTATAACTGAAGGTCTGAATACAGGTGTGGTGCTGGCTGCTCCCCATCTTTTGTCTCCAAATCCAGCTTTAAACTTCTCCACAGCAGTATCTCAGATCTGCCTGGTGTGTTCCTTGGTCTTCATGATGCTCTCTGCGCTTTGAACAGAACCCTGAGACTATCACAGAGCAGGTGCATTTATACGGAGACTTGATTACACACAGGTGGATTCTATTTATCATCATCAGTCATTTGGGACAACATTGGATCATTCATAGATCCTCACTGAACTTCTGGACTGAGTTTGCTGCTCTGAAAGTAAAGGGGCCCAATAATAGTGCACGCCCCACTTTTCAGTTTTTATTTGTTAAAAAAAGTTTGACACATCCAATATATTTCATTCCACTTCACGATTGTGTCTCACTTGTTGTTGATTCTTCACAAAAAATTTAAATTTTATATCTTTATGTTTGAAGCCTGAAATGTGGCAAAAGGTTGAAAAGTTCAAGGGGGACGAATACTTTCACAAGACACTGTATGTCGCAACTCATTTATGTATAAAGTGAATAAAAGTGGTGATAGCACACAGCCCTGTGGAACATCAGTGTTCTTTAAACCTAAAACTATTGCTTTAAGAAAATATGTGCACAGACCATGTGAAGGTACGGTCACTTTGTACCTTTGCAGCTTTGGTCACTTCTTACCCCCTTTTGTCCATTTTGTTCCTTGGCAGATGATTTTTGTACCAGAGTTAAAAATGTCTGGCTTATCACTGGAACATAGATGTGTTTTAATTGTATTTATTTTTACCAGAAGTTTCTAAAGTGGAACTGGTGCCTCGGCACACATGCATGGGTGGAAAAATCCAGCTGAAGGTACAAAACATCAAATAATGTAAATAACAGGGTGCTGTTCAGTGAAGGGAAGAATTGATCAAGAACATGCATGTTGGGCTGCCGTCAGGCCCAGGCCTCCCTTTCAAAAGAGATCTGTGATCTCAGTGGGATTTGCCTGGTTAGATAAAGGTTAATAAATAAAATAGAACCTGGAGGTAAAACTCCTGTTAATGCTCTTATGACAGCCTTTAGGTGCGTACCAGATCTTTACTTCACGTTGAGTCCTTTGTCTGGGCAACAACCAAAATAATTAGAACCCATATTTTATTAATATTAGAATAAATTGATCCAGATGAGGCCCACAGAATTGCAGCAGACTGAACATTTGATCCCCCCCCCCCCCCCCCATGTCTTTACTGTTCAATCATTTCCAGCTGGCCAACAGTGAGGAGATCAACTCAACCATTCGCCAGTTCTTCTGCTCCAACAAGACCTACAACGACATGGCCACTCTGTTCTTCAACCCCCAGGAGGCTGCCATCCACCAGCTCTTCCACCAGGACGGTGAGCAGACCTTAAACTGGCAACACTTCATTTAAAATGCATTTTTAAAAGCGATCCACGCGCACCGAGCGATCCACGCGCACCGAGCGATCCACGCGCACCGAGCGATCCACGCGCACCGAGCGATCCACATCCTAAAGAAAGCATCCTAACATTTTTAAGAAGCTTGGTGTACTGCACGTGATTTTAACTATTTTGTCACGTAACTCGTGTTCTTCCTTTAGAACTTGGTGCAGCCAAAGTGAAACAGGAAGTGACATCAAAGGGGAACTCTTTAAAAACAGGAATGTCCCGGTCTCCGTTGATTTAAACGATCTTATCTGAACTCTTCTTCGTCTTTCGCTGATGGCGACTCAAAATAATCAGAAGACATCACTCACATCACTTCCTGTTCCAGAGCATGAGAGTATCTCAACAACTGTTCGTCTCAGCAGCATGAGATTTGTTTTTCAGTACGTTGTTAATGTTCTCTTTACAAAAACGCATCCATTTCATGTCACGGGCACCGTTCGGTACAGCATGGGATGTTTTTGTGCAGCTGCTTTTATCAGAAACACTTAAAATCAAATGCAAATTCTAGTTTTCTTATTATCTCTTGTAAAATAACCTCCATTGACCAAAGGCTCTTACAAACTATTATAAACTGATATGATCAGATATAAATTTGTGTTATTCTACATTACAGTCGAGTTAACAGCATCCCGTAGTTCACTGATACGTACAGAAGGTTCCTGAGGCCTCAGTTTGTCGAGCGTTTGACGACTCGAGCTTCAGACGAGGGGGATGACCCTTCTCCGGTTCCTCCCCACAGGGACCTTCAGTCCGGTGACCCTGTCGGTGTTCTTCCTGCTCTACTTCCTGTTGGCCTGCTGGACCTATGGCGTGTCCGTCCCCAGTGGGCTCTTCGTCCCGTCGCTTCTCTGCGGGGCGGCGTTCGGACGTCTCGTCGCAAACATCCTCAAAGTGTGAGGAAGAACTTTTCTTTTTGAAGCTTTTGTTGTCTCTGGGTACTCATGACACCAAGAGACCAGTATCTAAACGAGCTGAAATTTTTATTTAGTTTATTTAACATGTCCTAATTAAAACTTGTTCCAAACTTGGTCTAACGTTGTGTTCAGTGATTTCCTTTGTTTTGGTCTGATGTTTCTCCTCTGACAGGAAACTGGGGATGGACATTTACTCCGGGACCTTCGCTCTGATCGGCGCTGCCGCTTTCCTCGGGGGAGTGGTCCGGATGACCATCAGCCTCACCGTCATCCTCATCGAGTCCACCAATGAAATCACGTACGGGCTGCCCATCATGATCACGCTGATGGTACGCTGCCTCGTTTGGTCTCACGGTTCTCCAACAAACGGCTCTTAAAACATTTTTAACGTCCGTCGACTGGGCGACGCATCGTGGTGTGGTCTGTCCGTCTGTACGCTTTCTCTGGTCCCGCCCATAACTTCTGATCCACTCAAGATCATTTCTTGAGACTCCATGCCCATTTATACCACCCCAACACGGAGTGTCGTGAACTTTTCATCACGCCAGCTCCAAGGTCACAAATCAAGGTCAACAATTATACAAGGTCTTTGCTTGTCTGGACCGTAGTTCTGTTCCGCTCAAGATTAATTTAATGAAATTTGATACAAATTTATACCAACAGTAGATGATGTCTCGCATATACTTATCGCTCCAGCTTCAAGGTCACAAATCAAGGTCAAAGGTAAAACTAGGTCTTTGCTCGTCCCACACAACTTCTAAACCGCTCAAGATAATTTAATGAAACTTGATACATCTATGAATCATCACCAGGACGAGAGTTTCTTACACGTTTCATCACCACAGCTTCAAGGTCAAGGTCACAAATCAAGGGCAAAGAGAAAGCAAGGTATTTGCTTGTCCGAGCCATTGCTATAGATTCCTGTATTGATGTCTCATATCCTATCAGTTTATGATGCTGGATTTTATCCTTTGAAACAAATTATGCTAATATGATGTACTGCTGATTGTCCATGCTGCTGATTGCCCATGCTGCTGATTTCTCAACCCTAAGCTGCTGTATTCATACCCATCTGCTCACAACAGACTCATGTTCAGGCTGCTGTTTAATACACCGTATTATATTACATTATTATTTAGTGTATATTTTAGATCCTTATTTACTGTTTCTTTTTATACTTTATATTTTTGCTAATATAGGAAGTAACTGGGACTCTGTGTACACAATTTCCACCTCATGTACCACAAATGATGCAAATGACAATAAAGAACCTTGAACCTTGAAATATGCTGAAAATATGTCAGAACTCAGTACTCAGTACCGGTAGTTTTATCGTTATGGGTTTTCTATGTAGGAAAATAATGTTTTTGGTACAAAGGACTGATAATTGTATAAATGTTCAGTCTCCTGCAGAGAATTTAGCTGCATGAACGAAGCGTCTCGTTCAGTTTGAAGCTTTGAACTCCGCTCTCAAAATGTCTTCAGCCTCAGAGGAAAAGAGCAGCCCTTTTGTTTTTGAAACTTTCATTTCTTATTTTTGGATTTCTTTCTGTTTTATTGTCAGGTTGCGAAGTGGACCGGAGACTTCTTCAATAAGGGCATCTATGACATCCACATCCAGCTGAAAGGGGTCCCCCTGCTGGACTGGGAGACTGAGGTTGAAATGGACAAGTAAGATTTGTTTTTAAAGAAAAAAGCATCTGTTTAACTCCTGCATGAAGTTATGGGGCGACACGGTGGCTCAGTGGGTTGAGCTTTTGCCTCTCGGAGAGAAGTTTGCTGGATCGAATTCCGGCCGGGGCGCCTGTGTGAGTGGAGATCCTGATGCACACTTAATAATCCATGTAGAAAAATCTAAAGTCAGGTCCTGTGGACGGATTCTTGTGGAAACGTTTTGTCTTTTATCCAAAGGACTTCTTCAGTCTGAGGAGCTGCAACAAACTCAGTCTGATGAGCAGCACCTTCTCATGGTGGATCAACCAGTAGCCACTAGCTGTTCACATGATAAAGGCTGATGGTCCTTATCATGTGGACTACTCAAAAAAAACTAACCCAAATAGAAAGTAGACTTTTAAACCAGGTAGAAACCAGAAGAACCAGTCAGTATCTGGTGTGACCACCATGTGGTTTCTGACCGTTTGTGCAGAAACTCTTTGGTTTCGTTGCAGCAGCTGTCTGGGTGGCTGGTCTCAGACTTGGAGGTGAAGGTGCTGGGTGTGGAGGTCCTGGGCTGGTGTGGTTACACGTGGTCTGCGGTTGTGAGGCCGGTTGGATGTTCTGCGAAATTGTTTGAAATTCCTTTGAAGATCTGATGGTAGAGAAATTAATACTCAACTCTCAGAAGCAGCTCTGGTGGACATTACTGCTCCCTCAGAACCTGCAACCTCTGTGGCCTTTTATTGTGGTCAGCCTAAGGCCCACCTGTGAGGTGGACGGATTGTCTCAGTGAAGGACACGTTCTATATTTTTGTATATGGTGACAGCCATCTTGTGTTTTGGCGTGGCTGCCCAATTCTCAATAAGAACCTTTCTTAGGCCTAGATGCAGCCACACACCAAAATGGATAACGACTCGTAGCTTAGTTTTCTAATTATCCAGCTCACGACAGACGAAGGGACAGAATGTCCAATTCCCCTCTTCACTCCTCGACAGGGAATAAAAAGGTCAAACGTCGTCTTCGCCGTGGACAGACGGTCCACGTGTTTTATAACAGGAAGTGCTGCAGAGAGCTGCTGATCATTTTCCATTAAGGTTTTATTCAGAGCAGGACTCAAGATTTCTGAACTGAACTGACAATAACAGTTTGTGGCGACAGGTTTTCTGAGCTCCTCGGGGAAATACATTTCTCTAAAGGCTTTTCTTCTGCAGGTTTCAGCTTTCAGAAGGATCTCGCGCTGTGACGGTAAAGGCATCGTGTCCGATGTGAGCCCAGAGCTGGCTGCACAGATCGGCTTCATTTCTGTTGATTGACTGAAGTAACTTCTTGGTTTAAAACCAAAGCCGTCCTTAATCTGTGATTTTGTTTCATTTTGGATCCTTCAACAGTTGGACGGAGACTTGGTCCACCGGTGAGTTCCTCACGCAGTCCTGCTCAGGTGGCGTGAATCTTTCTGTTTCGTCTTTCCCCCAGGCTGACAGCCAGCGACATCATGGAGCCCAACCTGACCTACGTGTACCCCCACACCCGAGTTCAGTCCTTGGTCAGCATCCTCCGAACCACCGTGTACCACGCCTTTCCCGTGGTCACAGAGAACCGGCAGAATGAGCGAGACTTCATGAAGGGCAACATCCTGATCAGCAACAACATCCACTTCAAAGTACGTCGTTTTCCTTCTTTACTCCGACGGAGGGAGCAGCTCGACCGCCCTTTGTCTGAGATTTCTCATCCTGCTCTTTATCTTCTGGTTCGATTCGAACAGAATCAAGTTGGTCTTTCCTGCAGGGTTCAGGGTCATCGTGCTCTTACACATCACTTCTCACAGATTTGTCTTTTTTTATTGTGAGCAAACCTTTGAAAAACGCTCCAAGTCAACAGAACGCTGTCGTTCTTGTAGCGGTCCAACATCGTGTCCCGTGCGGGGGAGCAGCGGCGGCGGTGCCAGTCGATGAAGTCGTACCCGTCCAGCGAGCTGAGGAACGTTTGTGATGAGCAGGTCGCCGCCGTGGAGCCGGCGGAGGAGGGCGAGGACCTGCTCCAGCAGATGTTGGAGAGAAGGTAGGACAGGCGCACCGGGACGATGTAAAGTCCTGCTGTGTTGCTCTTTTCAAACGTAGTCTTTGTTGGAAGATGTACCAGCGATCATGGCACGTGGTTCCTGATCCAGCTGCAGGTTCTAATTTGTCTGGGTTTTCCCAAAGCTGCTGCAGGAGCAGGAAATCAAACGTTGTGAGACGTGGGCTGCTAAAGTGCATCAGCATCCTTAATGAAGGCAGGCACCCCACCCTGTCAACAAAACTGAGCATAGAGTATTCAGTATGTCTCAGGGATCCCGCCTGTCAAGCAAAATGAATTATAGAATAAACTTCATGTTGACGAGGCGCCAGCTCCCGTCCATCGGTTCCACCGTCAGTTTCTGTAATCCTCGTTTTGGTGCTGTTTACATCTAGGCATGCTCCATACCCAAACCTGTACCCGGATCAGTCTCCCAGTGAGGAGTGGACCATGGAGGAGCGGTTCAGACCACTTACCTTCCACGGCCTCATCCTCCGCTCCCAGCTGGTCAACTTGCTCATCAGAGGGGTCTGCTACTCCGAGAACCAGTCGGTCAGTTGCACTCTTGTGCGTTCGGATGCTGTTTTTCTGCCGTTTCATGACGATCTTCTCCCTGGAATAGAGTGCCACTCAGCCCCGGTTGTCGTATGCAGAAATGACAGAAGATTACCCACGTTACCCAGACATCCATGAAGTGGACCTCACCCTGCTCAACCCCCTCATGATAGTGGTACGATCCATTTTCCGGCACACTCTGACGATCTTCTGAGAGTTCAGACAGGAAGTTCCAGATTTTCTTAGATTTTGATTAATCGATTGATGTGTTCCCAGGATGTCACCCCCTACATGAACACAAGTCCCTACACGGTTTCACCCAACACCCGGATCTCCCAGGTCTTCAACCTGTTCCGGACTATGGGTCTCCGACACCTACCGGTGGTCAATGCTGTCGGCGAGGTAAATTCTCCAGTCATACCTATTTTATTGGAACTTTTGAAGCTTTCTAATTTAATAAAAATCGACTAGAAACCGTTTCAGTCCACGACACGGTGACATTTTGTCTCTTGTGTTTCTTTCAGATCGTTGGAATAATCACGAGGCATAATTTAACCCACGAGCTCCTGGCGGCCAAACTGCGACAGCATTGCATCACCATCTGAGCAGATTTGGACTTCCAGTGTCCGCGCGGTTCTGCCGGGTCTTTCAGCTTTTGATTTGGTTCATCACTGCACGCAGTGGGTTATTCCTGACCCCACGCTGAACACATCAAGGCTTCATTAGGTGCTTGTGGACCAGGACCACCTTCAACGTTCCTCAAACTATTGAACTGGTTGTAGTTAGTAGATCTGCTTTTAGAGTCTTAGTTTTAAAGTCGTAGTTTAAATCTGTTCGCATGAGAAGCCCCTGTCAGGTGTTTGGGTTAAACAACGTAAGAGGTCCAGATAGTGGACCACTACCTGTACGACGTACAGTGATTGGTTAGAGAGCAGCACCAGAACCTGTTTTAAAAACAAGATTTATTGACATCACAAGTACCAGAATTACAGTTATGGGAAAAAGAAGGTTCACCCCCTGTCAGTTCTGGGTTCTACGTATTGGACTTTGATAACACTGATCTGGTTTTTACCAGGTTCTGAAGGGTTCTGCTCAGATATCTGAAGGTCCACCATAGACAATCAGGTTCAGGCTCTGGACTCTGACTGGACAGTTGCTTCTGTTCTTTCTGACCTGTTCTGTTGTAGATCAGCTGCTGTGTTCTGGATCACGGTTCTGTTGGACCCAGTTTGGTCCAAGCTTCAGCTCTTGGACTCCAGAACCCTTTGGTCTACAGAGTCCAGTCAATGACTGACAGGAGCCGGAACCATCAGCCTCCACCACCGTGCTGACAGCTGGAGGAGATGTTTGCTGCAGTGCATTCTGGGTACACGTCTGTCCTCTGGTCTGGTTCTGATCCAGAAGTCTTGTGGTTCCTTCAGATGAAACGTGGTGGCGCTGCCATGTTGTTTTTAGAGAGAAGAGGTCATGACCTTTGACCTTCTGACAGGCCTGTAGAGTCACTGCACGGTCTGACCTTCAGGGTGAATCTGCTGTGATTATCAGCTGGGAGGAGCCAGTAGCTTCAGTTTGGTCTCGTGTCCATCAGACGGGTTCAGATCCAGTTTTTAGACCGAGCCGTGCTGCCTCGGTCTTTCCGTTTACGACGGCGTCGATAAACGTTTTATTTTAAAGTTTTTACTCTTTTAACTTTTCCATTTTATCTTAGTTAAACAAATAATGACACGGTAGAATCTGACTTTGTTTATGAAGTTAAACTGGGTTATTTTAGAACCGGGTCAAGACCAGATCAGTTTTGTGAAGTCCTGATCAGTGAAACCTGAGAACTGAAGAAGGGTGGGCTGTTTGTTTGTTTGTTTGCTGTGACTGTAAACAACAAACTACCTGAATGAAATCCCACCTGCAGACATTTCAGTCCATTTTATTTCATATTTGTTGTCACTGTTGCACTTTGTTGTTGTTTATCGATATTGTTTGTTTACTGAGGTCAACAAATGCACTACAGCAGGCTGACGGTGTTCATCAGGACCTGCAGTGTGACTGAAGCTCGGGACGTTTTAGATGTTTGCTCAGCAACGTAGGCGACGTGACGCCGACTTGTTCCACGACGTGACGCCGGATCGTTCCACGACGTGACGCCGACTCGTTCCACGACGTCACGTCGACTTGTTCCACGACGTGACGCCAACTCGTTCCACGACGTGACGCCGGATCGTTCCACGACGTGACGCCGACTTGTTCCACGACGTGACGCCGACTTGTTCCACGACGTGACGCCGACTTGTTCCACGACGAGACGCCTACTCGTTCCACGATGTGACGTCGACTCGTTCCACGACGTGACGCCGGATCGTTCCACGACG